GGGCCGAAGGGCTGTGCCAGTTACAAACTAGATGTGCGATTAATAGATATAAGGTTGATATCAACAACGTCGCCACTGTTATAGGAAAGCCGATCATGAAGAAATGTTTATACGAATATCGGTAGCCTTCTTGATGGGCCAGTCCGACTGTTATTACATTGGCTAAAGAACAGATTAGATTTGAATTTTCGCCGAAAGAAGAGCCGTAGGCGATGGACCACAGGAGCGGTGCAAAGGGCAAATTGCAGCTGACGCTCATGCTGATGGCCTCGTTGACCATCAATGATTTCATCACCATGTTCGGCATAATGGCGGACTCAATGGCCGCCACCGCAGTTAGCACTAATATGCTGACGGCCAGCTGGCGGTCCTTTCTCGTATTGCTGACAATCTTGTGAAGCATGTTGATCGTCCAGTAATCGATACCCAGGTAGCGAATCGATTTGAATAGCACCAGCAATGCAGCGAAGAATATTAAGGACCTCCAATCAATGCGCGCCAATAGTACGTCGAGCTCCTGCAGGTTGCCCAAGATGAGCAGCAGCATTGTGGCGAACAGTGCTATCCAGTTTGGTGTCATATAGTGGACAGTGTTATCTATTGTGGGCAGGCAGAGGATAAATAGAACGGCCAGGGAAATACAGGAGCCGACGAGCAACGGCAAATTCTTCACTATACAGTTGGCCTTCAAATCGGACAGGGTTGACGCGAAATCCATCTCCTCTCTCTCTCCGATCTGTTCATTCTCAATCCTCCTCAGCTGCGTAATACGATTGTTCTGATACTGACTTAGATGAGCGCCGACTTTTTTCAATTTGTCGGCGCGAACTTGAAGCGATGTTATCGACCCAAAGACTGTACTCGGCCTATATAAATATTTCTTAAGAAATCCGTAGAGCACTCCGTAGGCAACCGCTAAACTCAGAATCACGCCCGGAAATAGGTGCAGAACATAGTTGCCATAGGTGATATGCTGCGCCTTGAGGATCGGAGCGATATCAAGCTTCATAATCGAGTGCTTATTCAAAGAGGACAATACATTTCCGATGTTGGCGAACATCGTAACACTCATGAGGACTATTGTGGTGCACAGCGCCAATTTTTGGCACAGCCGCAATGTAATCGGGGCCATTAGCAGTATTATTGTCACATTGTCCAGTATGGCGGAGAAGATCGCCGCGCAGACGCACAGAATGAGGACGAGTAGCCAAGGCTTGCCACGTGAGGCCTCATATGTGATGGCGGCTATGAAATCAAAGACAGCCGTCTCGTCCACAATGCTGACTATTACCATCAGGAGAAAGACATACATCAGGCAATCTAGGTGGATCCATTGCACGAATTCGATCAATTGTGGACGCGCGTTCATCATGCACAGCAGTCCCATTCCCCCCATGGAAGTGAGCAGGGCCACAAGTGCACGATCCGCCAGATCCCATATAATCAGCACATAAAGAAAAATAAGCAGCATTATTCCGCCCGCGACGCCGACATGCGTGCTAACCGGGTTATAATTGACGACTACGAATAGGGCGAACGCCTGATTGTGGTAATTTGTGAGTATTACATTGAGCTCGTGGAATTCCCCATGGCTTGTCCTCTGATGTTTTTCCTCCGATGGCTTTTTTACCTTTTTGAGTGTGAACTGCTTACTTATCGTATGGCTCATGACGTCCTGATTGGCCAGCAAGAAGAGGAACCACGTATCGGATTCCAGTTCCGTCTCATTGGCCATCGCATTGAAGCTCTTGACTTTAACTTTGATATGTGGATCTAAATCGGTTGCCTGCTCGGGATTTCTGATTAGCCTCTTGTCGAGGGGACCGGAAAAGTGAATGTCTATATCACTGTGATGTGTTTTATCCCTCGACCTGATCACATACTTCCTGTACGGCAGCACTGGCACGAGGAAGGTACTTGGCACTTTCGGCGCAGTCGTGATAAGATACACCGAAGAGTACAGCCAGACTAGCAGAAACAAACAAAACTTGACAATGTTGCAAATCTTCCGGGGAAGCTTGTCGCTGTCTTCCGTGTCCAGACGGTAGTTGCTGAAAGTGTTGCCAGCACTATCCATATATATAAATAGTGGCGTATATAGTTGAAAATATAATGTTCTGATAAAGACCGCACATCCGATTTAGGTGATACCAATTCTTTTCTTAATTTCTAGCAGCTAAACGATATATCTCCCATCTCACCTTCCTTAAACTATTCAATTTACGATCAATTATATTCATGGCAGCTTTACAAATTTTTAACTCAATTAATGACTCAGAATTCAATGGCATATAACGATATGATATACTAATTTTAACTAATCACAAAAATGCAAAACAAAACTGAAACAAGAGTGCTCGTGTGGGAGTCCTAGCTCTTTTATCTTTTCTAATCGATAACCGGGCATGGCTCTATCAGCTTGTCTTATACCTTATGAGGTCTATCACGCCTCTTTCTGCCTTTTGCGTACATTTTCAAATAAACAACATACCCTAATTTCCCATTATAATGAGTATGGGATAAGTATGGGATGGAATAGCCAGCAGACCATGCAGAAGCCTAGTCTTAAGATAACTATAGAGCAAAAGAAACTGCTGTCTGCCCCATATAGTAATTATAAATGTTAATGTTCAGGAAATATTTAGCATATAACACTAAGCCTTAAGCACATATATATTTTTAGCTATGCGCGTTTGTTTGCCTATACATCTGTACATGTGTCTCTCTGTTTGTCTTTTTGTCTATCTCGCAGTCTGCCTCCTTCACAAAAGCAAGGGGTGAAGAAGAACTAAGTTTTCTTTATGTTTGCAGCAGTATTCATTTGGTATTTTAAACGAACCGAGAATGCTTGAAGCAGCTGAGAGAGTTCCAATTGTTGCTCTACATTTTAGTACAGCTTAGGCTTTGAGTGAAAGTGACCCTATTTCTGCTGCATTTCTTTAGTCGCCCAGGCCTGGAGATGGTCAGTCATGCAATGCGGTAAGTGAAGTGTGTGATTGTTCAGGTAATCATTAAAGACTTGAAGTAAATACTTAAAGGAACTACTGGAAATACTTAGAAATAAAATAAAATTTAAAAAATACTTATAATAAATACTTAGGAAAAAGACGTAGAGGAAATACTTTTAAAAATAATTTAGAGGATATACTTGGAGGAACACTTGGG